GTCGGTCCTACAGGCCCACTGTGACCTTCTGTTGAATACTGCTATTTAACCCACGCTCCTTTCTTCTCACGAGTCGTGGAGATGAGTAATGAAGTTTTCACAGCGTCGAAATCATACGTTTAACAATGCATTCTTCTCGTTAAGATTACGCCTCGTTCTGATCAGCGCGTTTTGCGGTCCAGTCTCTTCTATCTATGGGAATTGGTCAGCGAGGACATAACTCGGCGTGCTTCTGTTTAAGACATTGTCATCTTGACCGGCGGCCGGGGAGCATCAATAGTGCATGTTATCCTGCCGTCGGGCATGTTGTCGCGGGCGATGATGATGCCATCGCGTGGGGCGCCAAGGCGTGGGGACGCAGCTTCCCCCTAATTCGGCGCGTGAAAGCGGCCGCGCCGCCGCGTGCATTTCATCGCAAGGTTGCACGGCAACAAAGCCACGATATTTGCTGTGGGGCGCGAGCGGTGTGAACAAACCCCTCTTTTGACGACGCAGCACTGAATGGGAAAGCCGCGAAGCTACGGAGGGCGGTGCAGACGGTGTGATGGGCGATCAGCTGGAAGCTCGGGAATCTTCCGGGGCGTTGCCCGCCAGCGCGGTGGTGTGACCTCCACCTGGCCCTGCAGGGCCGGCAATACACTCTTGTGATCGTCGTGATGTGTTCTGATCATCGGGCATTGGACAATGCCAGTGGTCTATTCATGTGCTGTGAGACAGCTTTACCCGGAAATGGACTGGCTCGCGTCAGCGATGGAGTATGTGGCATATGGGTTGCATGCGCTTTGGTGAATATCCGAGCGGTCGGACTCGGTGCGGATAGCGTCCATTTACGAGAGAGTCGCGTGGCCACCGCTGTGGCTCGCGGAGGGGCGGAGCGTGGCGAGAGAGAGGATGACGTACGCGTTGTGGCGGTCACTGGCGTTGGTTCGGTGTCTCTCGGTTCACAGCCTTTGGATGGCGTGGGCTGGCCGGGGCAGTGCCTTAGGGAGCAACCGAAATCGCGAAGCCGGGACGGGCCCTTGCCCCCATTAATTTTAGCTTCCGACTGTTTATCCAGACGTATATTGGGTGTCGTCTCCCAATCGCCCTGCCCTACCAACCCTGCCCACTTCTCCACACAGCATATACACCGCTCATAGCTCTGCTCCCTTCAGCGCCCGCTTCCCCGGCCCTACATCTATTAACTGCCCTTTCAAGACGCACAATCTGCTCTCCTCACTAATATCCCCCCCAACTCATATGCACTATGTCACCCGTCGCGACACCTAAGTCGATCCTCAAGCACTCCTGCTTGCCCAAGAAGACCGCAGCTATATGCCGCAACGTCTCCTTCTGCTCGGAGGAGTCGGTCCGAATGGCCGACTCGTACGACCGCTCTCCCGCCTCGCCCACCACCGAGCTCAGCTGGTCAGACATCGAGGAGCTCCGCCGGCTCCAGCTCGAGGCTGACGGGGAGGACCCGCTCGACGAGGCCAAGGCGCTCATGGACCTGCCGGCGCTGCTGGCCGCAGCGCCCACCGCGCTCCTCCCCCTACTCCCGCCGATCACGAGCATATCCCGGCCCGTGCCCACCCTCACGCTCCCGGCACCGCGGAATCGCGGAGGGGCGGGATCCCTCGCTCCCCAGAAGCGCCCTGCCGCGCCCCAACTCGGGCCTCCCCTGCGCAAGCGCCCGCTGCTCGCCTTCCTCCCCCTCCTCCCTGTCGGCGACGCGACCCCTTCCCCTGGGCCAGTGCCGATGAGGAACGACCCGAATGCCGTGCCGTACTTCTCGCACCGACCCAAGCAGAGCCACAGGCACGACGCAGACAGTCCGATGACGGACGAGAGCGCGTCTCCTGTCACTCCCCCGGATATGCGGCGGATGCACCCGCTGGTCCCCGAGTCTGATGCGGGCGCACAGGCGTTCGAGATCACGTTCAAGCGGAGGATGGAGAGCGATTGGTAGAGCGCTGGATGGTGATGATTCCCGGGAAAAGCAAATCCTGCTGGTCAGGATTCGCCGAGCGTATGTGCATTTCCCGTCCTTACCGAATAGCCGCTCATCAGCAGAACAGTGCCTTAGCGGCTTTGGGCTGGCCATAACAACATTACGAGATGCACTGTGCTAGTGCATTTCGCGCTCCCCTCTGGAGCAAGCAGTGTGAGCGTGCCAGCGATGGGTGCTTGTGATCGCCACCTTGCAAACAGCATCGTCTGAGCATGCTGCACTCATTTGGAAGAATACGTCATGTTGTACCCTGATGGCCCGCTTCTCGCACCCCTTTTGGAAGATGGATTAATCTGGACGGATGGATTGCACGGCCCAAAAACTTGTAGCAAATATTGCGTTATTTTATTGTATTGTACGAATAAACATTGCACGGATAGAGTATAATGCAGATCTAGTGTACACAGCTCATTCAGATGATGCGTGAAACGATGTCGTGCGTTGTGGAGCAGCGTGAGCGCGAAGAAATGAAGCGCGGACAGACTTCGGGGAATATCATAATATCGAGATTGCGGTGGAATACGACCTGGACTTTCATCAGCAATGTCGTCAACCTGTGCAGAGTATTGTTTACCCCATGATGGCGACCATTGTTTGCACGAGAGCCCACAGGAATGGCACCCATCTGTCAATCGAGCTTGACGTCAGAGATGATTCTATCGGACGAGCGAAGCACTCACGTCGACATGCTAAAGTATCCAACGCTGTACACAGCCGCGAGCACGAACCCGATGATGCTGGCTCCGATGAGGGCGAACAGTCCCGCAAAGAAGCCGAAGGTAAGCGGGATGAGCGCCGCGAGGAGGACGGACTTCTTGCTGAAGACGACGAAGGCCCACGTGCCGGTCAGGAGGAAGGTGATGCTATAGCAGATGAGCGTCCAGTAGAGGGTGAACCGCCATACGTCTGCCGATGCCCTCCGTCAGCATGTGGCGTATATGAATTGCACGCATATGCTCACCGTTCGAGTAGTAGAGATAGCATGTTCCGGGCACGAGCGTGCTGGAGTTCGCGCGGGTGAACTCGGCCCTCGGGTTGTACAGGCACGGGAAGGACGGCGTTACGTAGCCCACTGGAGGGGAGAGGATGGTATCCGGATCTGAAGACATGGTGCGTATGTCGGAGGCGGGCAAGGAGGGTGCGCGGAGGTGGGCTATAACATCGGGCTTAGGGGACGGTGGTGGAAAGGAGCACGGTGAGGAGCGGGAGAAGGGCGGCGCGGGGTTCACGAAGCCGTTTAGCAGACCCTGAGCCGGACACAAAAATGTCACTTCTTCATCCTGTCGACTATTGCTCGAACTCTTCACTAAACCGGCGACAATGCCTCCTCGTCGTAGCCCGCGTCACGCTTCCAAGCAATCAGAGGATCTCGCGTCACAACCTTCGGTGGCAGCCACAGAGGCTCCGAACGCCCTGGCTAGCCCAAGCAGAAGACGACAGATCGTCCAGGTCGTCATACCCATTAGGAACAAGAAGAGAAAGGCAACAACGCCGGAACCGGCGCCGTCTTCTCCTCCGGCTGCGTCAGGTGATGCTGAGGAGGCTGAAGAAGAGGCGGACGAGGGTGATGATGCCCCCGAGCCTGTGTCGATGAAGAGCGGCCGGAATGTCCTCTCGAGCCCAAGCAGAGGACGACTGATCGTGGAGGTCGTCATTCCCATTCGGAACAGGAAGAGAAGGGCACCAACGCCGGAACCTGCGCCGTCTTCTCCTCCGGCAGCGTCAGATGATGCTGAGGAGGCTGAAGAAGAGGCGGACGAGGATGACGATGCCCCCGAGCCTGTCTCGATGAAGAGCGGCCGACAGGCTGCCGAGGCGGAGGCCCAAAGGGTTAAGGACTTCGAGCAAAGGTGTGCAGCATTTCTACAGGCTTCGTGAGAATTTTCTGATGATCCTATTTAGTGCGGCTGCTAAGCGACGAGATGGAAACAAAAAGCGCGACCAAGCGCTGAAGGAGCGTGCAGGCGCTCAAGGTGGCAGTCGTAAGAAGCGCAAGGCCGATGAGGTTGAAGAGCCGGCGCCTGAAGTTGGTCTCGACGATGCTGCAAACGTCCCGCTTCCTCCTTCTGATGATGTGGATGACGAACAGCGGGAGGCCGATGCAAGGATGGAGCGGGCCATGGGTGAAGCTGACGAGGAGGACGAGGATGGACAGGACGAGGCCGTCCAGGAGGCAGGCGATGTAGAAATGGATGATGACGCTACAGCAGTATCTGGTGAAGCGCTCGAGGGCCCTCGTCACACCCGTCTCGATGAATTGGACGAAGAAAATGCTGCTGTAGCCCCTGCCCAGGCAGCTTCGATCCCTCTTCAACTCCCTGATCATATTTTCGCCTCTGCTGCTGCCGCCATTTCCGAAGCGCAGAAAAAGGAGCGCTCGCACAAGAAGGTGAAGAAAAGTGAGAAAGTAAAGGAGAAGGAGATGAAGAAGAGGCGGAAGGATGCTATGAAGGACCGGGTGGTTGGGTGCGTCATCTTCTCTATGCCATCTACGGAGTCTTACAGTCTACAGATCTCGCACCGTTCGTGTGCTGCCGTCACAACCACAGCCGGATACCGGCGTGAAGTCTGGCGTTGCCGCAGCTCGTTTCGTGCGGCAGCGCTTAAGCCTCACCACCCCACAAAACGGTGTGAAGAAACACAAGAACCCGAAAGGGTGGGAACGCCGACCCGGTATGCCTCCATTCTTTCCGTTGGTTATGCGATGCTGACCGGGCTATCAGCTCACTTGACCATTAGTCAAGGCTCATCGGGGCCTGCAAGAGGATTCGCACGCAGTTCTAAGTAGTGATACAGATCCTGCTTGCTTCATGCCTTATCTCCCGCGTGCACCATCGGCTTCCGTTCATCCGTGCAGCTTTTATGGCTAGACATACGTCCCATAATCAATGTAAAATAGCAGCACCCGAGAGATTCCATTTGCATTTTCCGTGTAACCATGTACTCATCTGATGCCAGGCCGAGCAGACTCTGCGTCCACGAAGTAGGATATTGCACAAATCACAAAATAAGTCCCCGGCGGGACTCGAACCCACAGCCTCCGGATTGTCCCATCGGAATCCGACGCCTTAACCATTAGGCCACGGGGACCCGCAACACTTTCGAAGGGCAAGACTGCTCATGTCACATAATAAGTCTCAAGACCAATTTGAAGGAGGACGACGTGGATTTAATTTACAATGCTAGGGTATTTCTGCCGCAGTAGGGGTACAAGTGACTGTGACCAAATAGAAGAAAGCCGTCTTAGTACTGTCCGCAACCCCTTCATAGGCGGGGCCTCTTGGTTTCTGGCGAGCTTTGGGCCGGCGCCGCTCTCTTCTTGACATCACTTGCCCACATGAAGAAATTGCATCGAAACTCTGGGTTCACTTCTTCTCGAAGTCGCTTGGAATGACCCGCATCATAGCCAGTACCGACAGGCCTTATTATTATATCAGTCACCATCCACAACCAAATACTGACACCACATACAGCGAACATAAATAAAAGTGTTTGCCCTTATTTGGCCCGGGCTTGTTTACGGTGAACTCCTTTGCGGGGAGACCATGGCCAGAGCACTTTGGCGCGGTGGGTCGGGACAGTAGGGTTGACCAGGCGGCTTTGGATGACTCTGAAGATCCGGATTGAGCTATGATGTTCGCCCAATACTCATCATCTTCCACGTCATCCACCGCGTTTGCTGATTGCTGGGTCGACTGCGAGACGGTACGCCAGCTAGAAGCGTCGGTACTAACAGACTCGTTGGATGGCGAGGGCTCCCCTGAGGGCTTCGAGCCAAAGAATGAAGAGAGCTTCATCTGACCGTTCTTCGATTTCTTGTCCGACGTCTTGCTTTTTCCTTTGCTCTGAGAGGACATCTTCTCGGGGGACTTCGGTCGGCGCGACGATACTTCATCAACAAGTTTTGGCGGCAAAGGTGCAGTGTCCCCCATCAGAATATTTGACGGTGTCTTAGATGATGCATCTGGTGGAGGTGGGGTGTCGATCGGCGTCTCAGGCACCTCAGATATCTCTCGTTTTGGTGGCAAGAGAACGTCGCCACAGCCACGCTCGTCAGGCGACTGAACCCCTTTCCTGCCAAAGAACGACGAAAGAAGTGGCTGCTTGTCGGAAAATTCGTCCCAATACCGTGCCGATATCCTCGGAAGTTCTCTCGTTGCATCAAATCGCATTTCATCCTGCAGACGGCGCACAGTGCCATCAGTCAGCGTGATTTCCTCGTGCAAGTCCAATGATACAGGGCAGTGATCAGATCCCAGTACGCTTGGAAGGATGTCGGAATGCTTGATCCAAGGTAGGAGACCTTCAGTACACAGGAAGTAATCAATTCTTGTACCGTAGTTGGCCGTCCGCGCATCAATAAGGGTGTTCCAGCCTGAGTCCTGTCAGCACAGCGAAAAATATCTATTAAGGCACGAACATGTGTACATCCCGGTTCGTTCAGGCCAGAATTTCCTTGTGACATCGATCAGCTTTCCCTTTGGTTGAAGCCAGTCGCGCAACCAGACGCGAGAAGGATGGTCCCACCACACGCTCCGCTTGCTCTGGAGTTGACCATCGCAATGATCGATTGGATGGGAACAAATGTTGATATCGCCGAGTACAATGACCTCCCGACCTTCCTCCTCAATCAGAATCCGTACTCGCTCTCTTAGCATATTGTGGAAGTTGATCTTGAACGGAAGCCGGCCCTCCGAGGCTTCCGCGGGGCAGTACGTGTTGATGAGCACGAAGAGACCAAAGTCCAGGACCAGCGCTCGGCCCTCATTGTCCAGTTCCATGAGATCAGAAGGGACGTGATCCTTGTCATCAGGGATGAAATCCAGTAGATGCGCAGACGGATAGTTGTCCGATACGCGTTCTTGGTGCGAGAGAGGCGGCTTGGGCTGTAACAGCCCAGAGAGTCCCTCTTCGGCCTTCAATGGCTTCACCGTCCTGGAATCGGTGTAGACGGCGACGCCACTATAACCGCCTTTGCTCTTGCCCAGTGGCAACGAGAAAAACGCGTCGTAGTGCCCCGGAAGCGCGATGGAACGATCGATCGCTGTACGAGCAATCTTCATTTCTGTGGCATTTGTCAGCTATTGTGCAAGAAGAATCAGCTGTGCAAAGTGCACACCTTGGAAACAGAAAATATCTGACTTTATCTCCTCATTTTCGAGCATCGCCTCAAGCGTCTTGAGACTGAACCATCTGCGAACCTGTCGGAATGGGAAGGGGGGCGCATATGAGAAACGCGTACGGATGGTACTGGTTGAGCGTACGAACTCCGTTCTACGTTGCGACATCAGCGCCAGCTATGACGCTCGGCAGGAGTCAACTCACAATATTCCACGTCAATATTCGCATGGTGTAGCATCTGTGCTTGGGTCACCAGAGGGCTGGGATTTCAGTCAGCGTCGCGAGCGCTTGACTTGGATGCCTCCGTACAGTAACGTAACCGACCCTTACACTATGACTGGAACGACCATACCCACTCTAGACGATGTAACGTCGCCCTACGATGGGGTTAATCACCCCTTGGCACAGTACATGCAATTGGTCTTCGAGCCCTCGTCCACTATAGAGGACAACTTGCCAGCCTTACACGCTGCACTGACGGCAAATCCGCCGAAGTCGCACGCCGACGTTATCGATGCTTTCGCGGCCATTGTGAAGACCTCGCCCTGGCGAGCGCGTACACCACTGCTTACCGCACACCCAGCAATTGGACAGAAGAAGAAGCTCTCAGCTCTCAGCGCAACAGAGCAGCGGAGCTCGGAGACCGTCGATCCTTCAGTGCAAGAGGAACTTATAATTCTCAACCGCGCCTACGAGACGAAGTACCCTGGTCTACGTTATGTGACATGGGTGAATGGACGCACGAAGGCACAGATCGCTGAAGAGATGAAACGCATGTTGGAGGTGCACACGGTGGAGTCGATTGACCCGTCAGTCATCGTGCCATACGTGCCAGGCAGCTCAGAGTGGATAGAGGAGCTGGATCGTGGCGCAGAGGCAACCATGAACATAGCGAAGGATCGGACGAACAAGCTCCTTCTGTAGAATGGAGTGAGAGGTGATGTATGCATTATGTCTTCTGCAAGCTAGCTGTATCGCTAGCTTGGGCTAGTCTACGTCGTGTCCAGTTCCATATTTGTGGTCCGTAGGAGAAGTAGAATACTCCAAACGCGGCACCTCCTAAATGTGCCCAGTGATCGAACATTCTGAAGCCAATGTCAGAAAGGATTGAATCGTAAGTCGAGTGGGTGCTAACCTCCAGCCCCTCAATACTCCTACAATGTCAAGCAGGACCAGTCCCCCAACGCCAGCAGATATCGGAACCTGCACCCAAGGGAAGAAGACAAACGAGACTGAGGCATCGGGGAGAGCCAATGCTGACAATGTCACTGTCGCGTATATCGCACCGGATGCGCCTAGTGAGGGTAATATCGAACTGGCGTTGGCGGCGAGTGCCGCACTCGTTGCTGCATTTCCAGTCGTCAGGGCAGCGACCATGCGTGGGAAGCTAAATCTGGTGGCCACGACGTGTGATACAAGGGACGCAAATATACCCCCTGCATGGGACATCAGTCATGATAACGCATGATGGAGTATTAGGGATGCCCACCTAACAGATAGAATGAAAAGGAGTGATAAAGGTACGTCGATTCCGGCTCCCTGTCTGAGTGACTGAATTGTTGGGCACCAAGCCAGTCAAATGCGGCAGAGCCAAATGATATCAGAGCAAACATATTGAAGCCGATGTGGAGGAAGCTCTGGTGGCTGAAAGCGGAGGTGACAAGAGTATAACTCTTCCCAGACAGTGGCGAATGTAAGAAAGAGGCTGCCATGCGACTTCGTAAGACCGGTATCTGCCACCCAATGAAGACGAGCGCGTTCAGGCCAAGGATCATCCATGCAGCTTTTCGACCGTCGCTGGTGTTAAGTGTTGCTTCGGCACCTGAGATCCAAGCCCGCTGATAGTACACGCGAAGCATTGCAGGCCAGTTCTTAGTGGATTCGACAACGTCCTTCAATCTAGTTGTGAGTTGCTATGGATGTGATGCGTCAGTAGGCTACTATCTGGTAGAAATCACTGCGTGCCTTGTGCAGTGCGAATTTCCGAGCACGTTGCATCTCCTGGCTTGTTGGACCCCCTGCTCTCCACCATGCGCCTTGCGACAGTTCCTTTGCCCATTTCCGCGTATCTTCATTCGTATAGTATGCCGCAAGGCCATAGGTTCCTGTGCCAACCCCTACGGAGAACTGTACAAAGTTCAGCACAGAAGCTGGATTATATTCGATCAGCGCACTAATATGGGTCGCCAGAAGACTGGTCGGTGATGAGCAGCGAAACTTTCTACCGACTCGCCGCCCGACAGAGAACTGTTAAAGCGTCGGGGTGCCACTCGCGTCCATGGCTGGCAGACAGGTCGAATTCTAGCACAGAAGGGCAGTTTCCAACCAAGTCTAGACATGGGGTAGAGGTCAGGCCTCTACGTCTCGGAGACCAAGGACGTTATGCGCGGCCGAGCTATGCACCGTCACCCGAGTGGCGATCGACCGTGACGCGTGTGCCCTGATCCACTGGCCGCGCCGTAGTCCCTTGCACACGAGGACACGACGAGCAGTTGTGGCGCGAAAAGATTGGCTGCTTATTCTAATGCGGTGATGTTATTCTGGCCATGTCAGAGGGCTCAAGGTGAGCATGGCTTATCATATCAAGCCAAGGACTAGATGCTGATGTGTAATGGTGATCAGAATACGAGAGTCATGGCTCCTGGCCCTCACCGACGCTCAGAACCGGTTCCGCTCACTCCTGAGTGCTCCACCAACAGACTGGAAACGAGTACCTCTTACCCAGACACCCACCAAACACGACGGACCTGTCACACACCCAAACAAAGGAAAGAATCGGCCTGGGACGACCCTCTCGGATGTTGCAGTGCACCGCCGGCAAAACAAGGAGGGAGAGGTGTACAGGGCGATGCTGGACGTGTTCACCGATGACGGAGGGCTGCTCGATTCGGACAATTGGAAGGTCATCTTGCAGACGCCAGAGCTGAGGAAGAGCTGGGATCCCATCGTGGACGGCTCTCATCTTGTGG